TTGACCACCCAGTTCCTGAAATCTTGGTGCCCCTGCCAAACTTTGACGCAAATTGTAGTCTCGTGTAAACGTACCAATCAGCCCCCTGTAACCATGCCTCTCGCTTCTGTACCAGTGCTTCTGCTCTAAAACCCTATAAAAACCCCAGTTTTTCCCCAAAGAGGCGCGCAAGGGCCTCCCGAGTGACCTTGCTGCCCCGAGTACTCGTGAATCAAAATAAAAGCCTCTTGCTGTTTGCATCCGAATGGACCCGTTGTTCTTTGGGAGGGGGTCTCTCTGACGGAAGATACCCTCCGGGGATCTTTCACCACTACTCTGTATATGACATAATATATTTAATGGATTTGCTTTCTTGCTTGTTTTTGAGATGGTCTCATTTAGCCCAGGCTGACCTCACATTTGCTATGTGGTTTAGAATGACCTTGAACTTTTAGTTTTATTGCCTCCATCTCCTAAGCATTGAGATTAGAGCCATGTACCACTATGCCTATTTTATTTCTTGTTTTATAAATGTTGAAGCCAGACCAGGTGCCGTGGTGCACCCCTATAAGCCCAGCAACTCAGGAATGCAGAGGCAGGTAGAACTTTGTGAGTTCGAGGCCAACTTGGTCTACAAAGTGAGTCCAGGACAGCCAAGGACCGAGAAGCCCTGTTTCTAAAAAACAAAATGTTGAAGCCAGGCCTGGTGGTGCACACCTTTCAGCATTTGGGAGGCAGAGGCAGGCAGATCTCTGTGAGTTCCAAGCCAGCGTGGTCTACATAGTAAATTCTATAAATGTTGTTTTTATTTCCTCAGATGATGCAATGAGATGAGAACCATATCCAAGCTTTACTAATACGTGGCTTGGGCTAAGCCCAGAACAGTTCTAACTATCCCTAGGCCTGGACCAGGAAGCTTCTAGCCTCCATACAATCTAATACTCATGCCTCCAGCCTCTCTCTGCTAACATAGATTTGGAATGTTTTTCTAGTTCTTTCTGAACTCTGGCTGGCCTATTCAACTCAGCCGCTCTGGCTCAAAATTTCTCTCTAAGCTCACTGATTCAAACTGGCTTCTCACTGAATTGCTCTGTTTGGAAAAACTGCCTCTGAACTCCACGAAGTGAACTGCATGAACTCAACTGAACTGCACTGAATTGAACCGTACTTCTGAACTCTACTGTATTGTCTCTTAGAACTCTCTTGCTTTCTCCCTGCACTGCTCTTAAGCACCTTCTCTTTCCTGTCTGTTCCTGTGAGAAATGGGTGTATCCTATCTCTTGACTCATTCTGTCAAATCTTTCTCTGATTCACCAAGTTGTCTGCCTCTCAATTAGACCTCATTGTTTGGGATTAAAGGTGTGTACTATGGGTGTGTCTGTATTCCAGCGGGCTCACACAGACCTAGATCTTTGGATGTGATCCCTTGCCAGAGTAGCCATGCTGGATTAAAATTCTTCTAGAGTTTCAAGGCAGCCAGGGCTACAGATCTATCTTAACAGTTGCCCCCACCAAGAAAACAAAACAAAACAGGCAAACAAAACCAAAATACTCCAAGACAATAACAAAAATATCATGTTGAAAGTAATATGGACCTAATTTTAGACATGAATAGCATAAGGATTTTGCTTTTTTGAGACAGGGTTTTATAGTATATAGGCTGGCCTAAAACTCACTACTTAATTCAAGACTGTCTTTGAACTCTTGCTCTTACTGCCCCCCACCTCGCTAATCTCCCAAATGCTGGCATTAAAGAATGTGCTATCTCATCCATATCTAATGTGAGGACTGAACTAAAACTGTGAGCTGGGTGTAATGGTGCACGCCTTTAATACCAGCACCCGGGAGGCAGAGGCAGGTGGATCTGTGTGAGTTTAAGGCCAGTCTAGCCTACAGAGGAGTTCCAGGACAGCCACGGCTACATAATAAGACTGTCTTAAAAAAAATCCCACAAAACTAAAACTGTGATAACCTTATATTTGAGTGGGCATGGTCTCTCTCTGTAGCCGTGGCTGACAGAGAACTCAGGAGATGTGCTTGCCTCTCCAGTGCTGGGCCTAAAGGTATGCACAACTGTGCCCAGCAATTTTTTAACTTCTTTTTTTTTTTTTTTGTAAGACAAGTTCTTATATAACTTAGGGTTTGATCTTGTGGGCCTCCTATCTTAGCCTCCCAAGTGCCAGGATTACACTGTGCACACTGTTGGGTCCATTTCTCCCCTTCTTCTGATCTCATCCTTTCTCTATCTCCTACCTTAAAAGCTAGAACATTAGTGGTTTTCAGGATGGGTTTTTAGACACAATGATTAATCTATCATACTTATTTATTAATTATAGTAAGATCAGTTCTATTCCATCTAATGCTATTTTAATTCCTTCCCTTCCCCCCCTTTTTTTTTGAGAAAGGGTCTTTTATTTTTAAATTTTGTGTGCATGAGTGTTTGGCTTGCATGTATGTGGTGCCCCCTGTGTCCCTTGTACCCAAGGAGGCCAGAAAAGGATGTGAGATCTCCTGGAACAGAGCTGTAGATGGTTGTGAGCCACTGCAGATGGGTGCTGGAAACTGAATCCAGGTCCTTTGCAATAGTAGCAAGTGCTTTCATCTGATGAACCATCTCTTTAGCCCCATTTTTCAGATAGGATCTTATTATGAAGTTCTGGCTGACCTAATATTTAGAAGTCATGACGTAATTCAGGCTGGCCTTCAGCTTACATAGATCCTCCTGTCTCTGCCTACCACTCAATATGATTATAGGCATTGACTATTCCAACCAGCTAATTTAAAATTTTTTTTTAACTAACTAAAAAAATTTTGTTGCTTATTTTTCATTTATGCTTATTTTGTTTAATTTTTATAGGTATTGATGGTGTAATGATCATTAAAATAATTTAATTTTATCAAACACTTTTTTCTTTTTGTTGTTTTTTTTCAGACAGGGTTTGTCTATGTACCCCTGCTGTCCTGGAACGCACTTTGTAGTCCAGGCTGGCCTTGAATTTAGAGATCCACCTACCTCTGACTCCTGAGCATTGGGTTTGAAGGTGTGTGCCGCCACCACCTGGCTTTTGTTAAACATTTTAAAAATTACATTTGTATTTATTTGGTGTGTATGCTCATGGGTGTGTATGTGCATGTGGATATTAGGGGCAACTTCTGGGAGCTGGTTTTCTCTTTTTACCATCTGGGTGCTGGGAATCAAACTGAAGTGGGCAGACATTGAAACAAGCACCTTTTTTCACTTAGCTGTCTCATGGTCCTATTTGGGTTTATGGGAGAGTCTCATGTAGCTGAGATTAACTTTGAACTCATGTTCTTCTTGCTTCTGCTTTTTCAGTGCTAGAATTGCATACAAACACTACTATGCCCAGGTGAAGTGTATTTTCTCTCTCTTTCTTAATTTTAAAGACAGGGTTTCAGTGTGTAGCGTCGGAACTCATACCCAGGTTGGCTTTAAACTCATCTGTAGTCTCTTAAGTGCTGGGTTTGAAAGATCCCCGGAGGGTATCTTCCGTCTGAGAGACCCCCCTCCCAAGGAACAACGAGGCCATTTGGATGCAAACAGCAAGAGGCTTTTATTGTGCAGCAAGGTCATTCAGATGACTTTTGCGCGCCCCCTGGGTGGAAAGCTGGGGTTTTTATAGAGTTTTAGAGCAGAAGCGTGGGTACAGAAGCGAGAAGCATGAGACCACGGTTTGCGTCAAAGTTTGGCAGGGACACCAAGATTCCAGAACTGGGTGGTCAAAAGGGTCATGATGACCACCCCTTAACGTGGCCACCTGTTATTTTGTTTTTCCCTATCTCAGCTGGAACAATCTCTGACAGATATCCCATGAGGGTAGTCACAACAAGTTGTTTTTAACTCAACAGGGGCAGCCTGACCACAGATATCCCAAGTGGGTGACACAGCTAGGTTTCTCAGTAATTTTCCAGTTTCTCATCTGGCCTTCAGAGTTTTACAAAACAGTGGTGTCTCACAAAATGGCGTTAGCTATGTTTAACTTAGGGTGAGGCTGGGGTCTTTCAGGTTAAAGGCATGCTCCACATGACCTGCTCTACGTTCTCTGTGTTTATGAAAAAGAATACTTGGGAAGAGGATCTGAATTTATATGAGACTACAGACGACATACTTTGGATCAATAAAAAGGAATAGACTTTGGTAGTAATAAGTGCTGATAGAAATGGAGATGGCCTTGTGAAAAGCACTGAGTGACTGGCCTCTTGGAAGCTCTAAGCAGGGCAGCTGTCAGCTATGGGAAGCCTTGGTGTGTAATGTGGAGCACAGAGAGAGGCGGGCAAGCCCTTGTGTACACTTCCAGGCATTGTGCTACTACCCTCCCTCCCCACCATGGCGTTTATCCGAAATCCTCATGCTCTGACTTTGCTGCTTTCTCACTCTGTAGCCCAGGCTGGCCTTGAACTTGTAGCAGTTCTGCCTCAGCCTTCCAAGTGCTAGGACTGCAGACTTGAGCCAGCAGGCTGGCTCTAGCAGGTGTAGTCCTTGGCTTCCCCAGGAGCTGCATGTGCACTTGCGTTGCAAAGTTCTTTCTTGTGCAGCTCCTGCCTATTCTTGAGAAGCAGTTCTGTGTGCTTATGGACAGGAGCCCCTCTTGATAGCTGCTTGTTCTCAGAAGTCACTTCCCACTTCTGCTTTAAAAGCTGTCATCTATATTTTTCCAGCAGTACATTAGCAATAATGAAGTGGAGGATTTTCCATTTAAAAATTTCCTTATTTTTTTGTTTGGTCAACATACTTGTAGGGTAGGTGCTTACTTCCAGCCTGATGATTGACTTTAAAAAAGGAAACATTTATAATTTAAGCTTTAGAAAGATGTCTAACACAAAACTGATGGCCTGCCGTTCGGTTTCCTCTACCTCCTTGTCAGGAGGCAGGAATGGAGATGGTTTTCATTGGTACGAGATTGGGTTGAATACCTTTGAGTGGGTCTTTGACCAAATGTTCAGCTTTTTTTCCTAATAATCAGGCTTAACTTCTTAACCTTACCTCTTTTGTTTTCTTGCAGTAAAAAGAGCCAAATTCCAGGGTTCACCAGGTAAGTCTGACCCTCTCTTACTGTTACCTTTCATCTTTCATGTTTGCTGTGATTTAAAGCAGTCTTAAAAAATATTTTATTTTGTGCGAGTGTGAAGGTATTTGTGTGCAGTACTACGAAGAGGCCAGAAGAGGGTGTCATTTCCCTAACTGGAGTTAGAGGTGGCTGTAAACTGCCCATGTGGGTGCTAGGAACTGAACTGTAGTCCTTTGCAAAGATAGCAAGTGCATTTAACCACTGAACCATTTCTCTATCTCCCTTAGAACAATCTTAAAAAGGGGGGGGGGCACAGGATTGCTCAAAGAAAAAGCATTTGCTATTCAAGTCTGATGACCTAAGGAGATTCAACTTGGGAGATTCCATTCTCTACTTTTCTACCTTGTGATTTTCAGAGAATGAATTCAGATTGTGTAAGCTTCATATTAGGTTACCTCTACCTGCTGAGCCATCTCACTGGCCCTTCAAAAACAACCTTAAAACAGAATCATTAATTATAAAATGGGTATGGGTATACATTTCTATAATCCTAGTGCTTGGGAGGCTGGTGCAGGAGGATTGCTTGTCCAGATCAGCCTCAGCTACATACAGAGACCCAAGCTCATAAAGAAAAAAAAAAAAAAAATCAATGATTTCATTTAGTTTACTACTTACAGTAATTGTTTTAATTCAATAAGTTAATTCATGAAATTATTACTCCATTGCTGTAGAACATTTTACTCTGTTTGCCTGCATTTTTATTTATATTATCAACAAAAGTTTATCCTTTATCTCTTGCCAACTCAATTATACTTCTCTAAAGTAATTACTTAGAAGTTTTTGTATACCTTTCCAGATTTTTTTCCATGGGTATTCTTCTAGCCATAATGGAAGACACACACATCTGTGTCCAACGTGCTTAATTGCCTCAGTAATACATCATACAAATCCTTTTCTATTTGTGTATATCGGACATTATTGTAAAGGTACTGTGTAGATTTTGTTGTATCCAAGGTCAATATGGATAAATATTTGTTACTTTCAGTGTCTTGCTATTATAAATCATGAATTTTGTTATGTATTTATGATTGTCCAATTTTTTAAATGTATCTATATGCTAGAGTTTAAAAATACAGTTACTGTGTCACAGTTATGTATTTTTAAAGTATTTGGTGTGGCTGAAAATGGCTCTTAGTTTAAAGAGGTTTAAATGGAAATGATGCTTTGGTGTTGGCCATTGGCTTTCTGGATTTTGTTTGTGCCAAGCACACCTTTTCTATACTATTGCATCCTATTTTTTCTATGTATATGTGCCGACGGCATGCTCATGCCATCGAATGTGTGTGGGGCACTTTTGGCAGCCACTTCTGATCTTTGCCCATATGGCTTCTAGGAATCAAATTTAGGATTGAGGTTGCCAGCCTTGGTGGCAGGCACTCTTGCCTACTAAGTCATCTTGCTGGCCTTTACATTTACTTTTAATTAAAAAAAAATCTTTTGAGATGGGTCTCACATAGCCCAGGGTAGCCTTGAAGTAGCTACATGACTAAGGATGACTTTGAACTTCGGAACACCTTGTCTTCTCAATAGTGCTGGGATTATTCTAGGTATGTGGTGCTAAGAAGTCAAACCTGGGCCTTATATATCCAAATCAGGCACTTTATTAATCCCCCTTTAAACAGGTGTCACTTTGTAGTGGAAGCTGACCTGAAAGTTGCTATGTGGCCTAGGATAGAGTTTATTTTTCAGTAATCCTACCTTGGCCTCCCGAGTGCTGCAATTACAAACATGAGCCACCATGTGGCTAGATTATACTGAGATGAAAAACTATATGAATTAAAAAAAAATTAGCCAGGTGTGGTGGTATATATCTTTAATTCCACCGCTTGGAGGTAGAGGCGTTAGGATCTGAGTTTAAGGTCAGCGTGGTTTGCACAGCCAGTTCCAAGACGGCCAGGACTACAGAGAAAGATTCTGTTTCTAAAAGAAAAAAAAGATTATCTGTAGCATCCATGTATGTGCATGTGTGTGAAACTGTGCATGTTTGTACACGTGTGCATGGAGGCCAGATGTGATCTTGGATCTCTTTCTCAATTGCTTTCCGCTTCAGTTTTTTCAGACTGGCTGTCTCAATGAACCTGGACCTTCCCAGTTGTCTGCATTGGATGGTCAGCAAGCCCCTAGGGTGTTCCTGTTTCTAGCTTCCAACTGCTAGGATTACAAGTGTGTACCACCAAGCCTGGAAAAAGATTTGAGTTTCGTTTTCTAGGACTGAGAATTGAATCTTGAGACTGCACATACGGGAAGATGCTCTGCCACCTAGCCCTTTCCCCAGTTTAAGATCTGTGAAACAAGATGACCGTCTAGAGCTGGGTTCTAGACGTGTTACCTTCTGCGCCTTTCATGAGGGTGCTAGGGATATGGACTCAGGTCCTCATGCTGCTGCAATAAGCATCTTACCCATTGAGCCATGTCCCCAGTTCTTTTTGTTTCTGCTTTGGGGATAGCCTTGCTTTGTCGCCTACGCTGGCCTGAAATCTCAGTCCCCTCACCTGGCTAAAGATACACCTGGACAGTGTATCTTCTAATGGACTGTGTGGCAGCACTCATTTTCTCACATTGTCTAACATTGGGCCATTGTTTTAAGCAGTATTTGGCAATTTGGTGAGTTAACATGATAGCTCATAGTTTTGCTTTTATGAAATGATTTTCATAATACAAAAAGCAAACCCTCAGGCCACATATGGTTGTCCACACTTGTAATCCTACTACTTTGTAGGCTGAGGCAGGAGAATCTTGCGTTCAAAGTCAGCAGAGTGAATTTTGAGACAGCCTGGACTGCACAGTCGATTCAGAACACTTGCAGAGGTTTGAGTTTCAGGTTACTCCCTTTGTTTTCTGCTCAGTTTATCATTTTAGAGAATTTCTTTTTCAACTTTATGATGATTCTTTTCATGTAAACTGTAGATCAAGCTTGAAATTCATTTTTTTCATGACAATTTCTCCTTCAATTTATGTCCTTTATCAAGGGGGCTCTGCAGCTGTTACCTCTATCTGTATTTTATGATTACATATATATATATTTATATATAATTTATTTATTTATTCACGCATTCATCTATTTATCTATCTATCTATCTATCTATCTATTTATTTATTTATTTATTTATTGAGAGAAAGAATCAAGAGTTCAAGGCTGGCCTTGAACTTGCTGTGTAGCTGAGGGTGGCCTTAAACTCCCTATTTACCTCTGCCTCCTAAGTGGTCCTGGGATTATGGATATTCATCACCAGATCTTTCTCTCCCAAATATGTGTCTTAAAATTTGAAGTAGGTTATGTACTTGAAATTAAGGTATAGTTTTATCACTTTTTGCAATTCTGTAATGCCTTGATTGTATATTAGGTACAGTTTTTTAATAATTTATTTATTTTTATTTTATGTACATTGGTGTTTTGCATGTATGAGGGTGTTGGATTTCCCCGGAACAGGATTTACAAACAGTTGTGAGCTACCATGTGGGTGCTGGGAGTTGAACATGGGACTTCTGGAAGAGAAGCCAGTGCTCTTAACTGCTGAGCCATCTCTCCAGCTCATAGCCTTATTCATTCATTCATTCATTCATTCATTTATTTATTTATTTATTTATTTAGTTAGTTAGTTAGTTTTTGACACAGGGTTTCTCTGTGTAGCCCTGGATGTCCTAGACTCACTCTGTAGACCAGGCTGGCCTCGAACTCACAGAGATCCACCTGCCTCTGCCTCCTGAGGGCTGGGTTAAAGGTGTATGCATTACCATGCCCGACTGTAGCTTCAGTTTTAATTGCACGTTAAATACTTTAATTTGTTATTTCTTAATCCCATCTATCTTTTTGACATTTTATACATATGGGTGTTTTGCCTTTATGTGTGTCTGTGTACCACATGTGTGCCTGGTGCCCGTGGAACCAAGAAGAGGATGACAGGGCTCCTGGAACTCTCCCTTTTGAAGAGCAGCCACTGTTCTTGAGTAGAGCTATCTCTCTAGCCTTTGCTGTTACTTGATTTTAAGGGCTTTTTGAAATTGGATAATAACCTGAATACTATTAACATCTCTGTTTTGCAATTTTTCAAAGGTAAGTTTAACACATACGTGACCCTGAAAGTCCAGAATGTGAAGAGCACAACTGTAGCAGTCCGTGGTGACCAGCCCTCCTGGGAACAAGATTTCATGTTGTAAGCATTTTGTCAAAGTGTTTGTCTACACATTCTGTAGTCATAATAAGTCGGTGATGTCTGTGTGGACTAGTGATGTGTTAATGTGCCAACAGTGCTATGTATTGTTTTAGTCTGTGGAGGCAAGTGGGGCTTGTGGTAGTGGTGAGGTCCATTGCAGTTTTTACCTTTCATTGATTCGTAATGTATCCTTGGAGATGAATGGCGGGTCCGAGTAACCCTGTGGTAACTTGGTAGGTGGGTGCTGCCTTCTCAGATTTTCCTCCCAGATCAGATTCAGTGCAGTGCAGTGTCCTTAGCATAACATCAAATGTAACTTTGTCTTTGGTCCTCAAAGACACTCTGTGGAAATGTGGTGATGTGTGTTCAAGACTGTGTGCGTACCTAAATAATTTCTTTAGAGCATGGCTTCTCAAACCTTTTCCATTCCATTTTCCCCTGAAAAATTTTGTTTTGTTATGTTTTTTTGAGACAGGGTTTCCCTATGTAGCCTTGGCTGTCCCGGACTCACTCTGTAGACCAGGCTGGCCTTGAACTTGCAGAGATCCACCTGCTTCTGCTTCCCTGAGTGCTGGGATTACTCATGTGAGCCACTATGCCCAGCAGTCCCCTGAAAAATTTTTGATTGAGTTTGGGTATGTAGGTATATAAAATGGTTGTATAAATCAAGCATTTACATTAATGAATACATTTAACTTTTTAGGGCTCAGGATATAGCTCAGTTGGTAAGGTATTTGCCTAATATGCTAGGGGCCTTGGGTTCCAGCCCTAGTACCCCATCTGCACCAAAAGTGTTTTCTCTTGGACTAGGGATGTAGCTTAGTGGTAAAACCCTACGTTCAGTTCTCAGCACTGAAAAAAATTTTTAAAAATTAAGCTAAAATAAAATCTTACACAATTCTTTGTAGATGAAAGCAGGCTGTATACAAACGAGTTGGGTGTGCCTACTTACTTTTTAATGGAACTCTTCTTAAGCCACAGGGATCCTCCAAGTAAAACATCTGAGCATGATACTGTGCAAAGATAGAACTTCCTTGTTTCCATGGAGAGGGATGGCATAACTAACCCATTACAATTTATAGGAAAAAGCTGTACATGTGCACAATCTAGACACGATGTTCCGGCCACACTCTGGCTCCGGTGTGCAGTGCTGTGTGCGCACGGAGCTGCAGGGAAATCCTGTGCTGCAGCACAGGCTAGCACTGCTGGAAGCACTTCAGATTCACTACTTTGCACTTCTGATTTTTGTTAGTGTCCAGCATCATGTGTTTGGAAACCTCTTACTGTCTTTGTGACCTTAAATCCAGTTATGAGCCACTGCATAGTGTGGCAACTGCAGGTCTAAGCAGCTGTGCCTTTAGAACTGCGGTTCTTAACATGTGGGCGGCGAAACGACCTTTCACAGGGTGTGTAAGACCATTGGAAAACACAGATGTTTATGTTATAATTCACAACACTAGCAAAATTATAGTTATAAAGTAGCAATGAAATGATTTATGGTGTGAAAGGGTGGCAGCACAGCGAAGGCTGGGAACCACTGACTAGACGATGAACATTCTCTCCTTATAATTCTTCTGTCTTAGCAGCATTCTAAGCCTCATGTGTCCCCCTGAGAGTGGTAGTGACGTAAGAATGAGGTTACCGGTTTCCTTCTACACGTCAGGAATGTGCAGTCGACTATTGATGGCGTGCACAAGCCTCCTCCCACAGTAGCTGTACCACAGACGCTGTGTCAGTCTGGGCTTCCTGTTCTCTCCTGTCAGTCCTGACTGTCAGTCCTGTAATAATTCCTCCACTACAACACTCCCTGCTGTGTAAAAAACTCCCATCTTCTGCTGTCTCTTAGTAAAGCTAGCTGTATTCTTGTGTGCTTATTTTCCAATTGACCAGAGCATTACTTTGACCCTTGCTGTGATTTGTGTGAATTTTTGTCTGTGTGAATTTTGCTTTTTTTTGAGACAGGGTTTTTCTTTATAGCCCTGGCTGTCCTGGATTCACTCTGTAGACCAGGCTGGCCTTTAACTCAGAAGTCCACCTGTTCTGCCTCCCAAGTGCTGGGATTAAAGGTGTCTTCCACCACTACCTGGCTTTTTTTCACATTTACACATAAGCTTTGTTCGTTGTTTTCTTTTTTTCTCTTATTCCTGTCTTTTTTGTTACTGGCAGCTCCATTACTGCTATGACTTCCCTTTTTATTTTCTCTTTTAAAAGCCTCTTCCTCCTCAATGTACTTTGTTGCTCTAACTGGTATAGATTTTTTTTTTCTCAAAATGTTATTATACTGCAGTATGTATGTATATATGTATGTATGTATGTATGTTTGTATGTATAAGTGCATTTGCAACAAGGGCTGATATAGCCCAGGCTAGCCTCAAGTTTACTACATTGCTGAGCATGACCTTAGTCTTTATGAGATCCCATATTTGGCTGTGTGTATGTGTGTGTTCAGACATTGTAGCCTATGGTTACCTGGAACTTAATACAACGAGAATGGCCTCTAAATTGTAAGAATCCTGCCTCAGTCGCCCAAGTGCTAGAATTAACGAGCATGCTTCACTATGTCTGGCTCATGTTATATATATGTGTGTGTGTGTGTATCTCATTTGCAGCACTAAATTGCTCACTTTTTTTAAGATTTATTTATTTTATGTATGAGTTCTCTCAATACACACCTGCATGCCAGAAGAGAGCACCAGATCTCATTACGGATGGTTGTGGGCCACCATGTGGTTGCTGGGAAATGAACTCAGGACCTCTGGAATAGCCTTGATTGAGTTAATTGTCTCTGGGTTCTAGGATAAGCATAGAGTTATGACTTCTTGGTTGTATGTTCTAAGCATCTGTACATGAGAGGAGAGGATCCACAGAGAAGAGAAATCTGTGAAGAACAGATTTTCTTCTTTCTTTGTTCATGTCAAACAGACTTTGGGCTCTTTATTTTATCTGGTAGCTTGAAATGCAATTTAGGAGTTGCATTGGGACTAATATGTATGTATACCCAAGAAAATTTTCCATTTTAGATTTAAATGAGAGACACTTTACATAGATTTTTCAGATGCTGGGTGTACTTTCAAAGTCCGGTTCATTAGGCTGAACAAAACTACATGACAAAAAGCTCAGTGTCCCCACTGTGAGCATCCTAAGTTAATGAGTGGGTTAGTAGCTTTGGTTACTTTTCCAGATACTTTGGAAGATTTCTGGAGACAAGACCTGGGCCTGATGTTAAGTATCTCCCCCAAAGTACCAATTATATATAAATGCTTGGAAAATATTAACTGAAAAGTGAATGAGCTCAGTAGCATCCTCTGTGCTCTACTGTAGATGGAAAAGGAATACCGTTTCTTTGCTTTGTTTGCTTGCAGCATGGTTGGCATGGTTTCTGTGGCTGTAAGTCCACACTCCAAACTAGTGCACTGAGACCACTTACCTTACAGGACAACAGAGAGGCCAACCTTTCTCTAAGGCACACACTTAGCACTTCCTATGATGAGTGGTAGCTCATATTTTTCTGGATAGCGTCTTCCTGTTTTTTTAAATTGTTTTTTACCTGGCCTTTCTCTCCAAATCACTGTGTTTTTCAACAAAAGCTTTCTCAAGAATGTTCTTAATACTAACGCAATGCATTTTGGTTTTACCCTACCGTTGTGGTTGTGCTTGTGATAGCCCACACTGTGTTTATTTATGCCTTTTCACTGCTGGAGATTGAACCTGGGGTCTCACACATGGTAGACCCAGCCTCCATTCAAATCTACGTGTTCCCAGGACCGCTTTTCTTCTCCCTGGATGCTGTTTTATAAACTTAAAAGTTCCCTGTTTGTATTCACTAGAGCTAAGTTAGGACAGTTGTAATATTAACAATAAAACATTTAAGGTTGCTGCACAGGGATAGAAATATAGGCAGGCCTGAAAGTAAGGCCTGAATCACTTGACCTCATGTTTAGTAATGCTGCATTGGTCTGACCATCGCATCTCCAGATGGCAGGGGACAGATAAAGGTCCTTCTCTTTCTTTCTCCTTGAGCGCCTTCCTCCCTACCTTCTCTCCCTTTTTCCTTTTTCACTTTCACTGAGGTATAATCAGTGTATAAAAGTAACCCTGTTATGTACACAGCATGGGGAGACTGAACACACATACACACTTGACTACTATCACCATGTTCAAGGTAATAAATGTGTCCATCACCTCCAGCAGTTTCTTTCTGACCCACCCCTCCACCTTGCTGCTAACCACATTTAACACAACATTTATTCTGTTAAAAGGTTTTCCTTATTTAGTACTGGGGAACCCAGGGCCTTGTGCATGGTAAGCAAGTACTCTACTACTGAGCTCTATTTCTTGCTACCTCCCAACAAAATTTCAAGTTAACAATAACTTTTTGTTAACAATAAGTACTCTGTTGTAAAACAGGTCTCTCAAACTTACCTTGATTCATATGATAAATGTATTTTTGGAAACCCTATCTTAAACAATAGTAATAAAATATAAAAACAAATTCATTTTCTCCTTTCTTCTCTCCTCCTCTTTATTTTCCTCTTCAGTCCCTCCCTCTCTTTTTCTCTCTCCCTGAGTCTGTGAACACTTTGAACTTGTAGTCCTCTGGTCTCAGTCTCCTGAATTCTAGAATTATGGGCATATACCACCATGTCCAGCTATAAAAGCACTATTCTGTGGATACCTGTTATAAGTTCCGAGAATTTGAAAGTTCACTTTCAGCCTTCAGGGATACGTTTATTTTCCTTAAAATAAGGTACTAGTGAAAAGTGTTCAAGGCTAGCAAAGGAGGCAATTATAGTATTGTGTTGTTGTTTTTTTTTTTTTTTTCATGTTATCTGGCTCTCTTCAAACGACTTTCTGTTTTCCATTAGTGAGATCAGTCGTCTGGACCTTGGCCTAAGTGTGGAGGTATGGAACAAAGGACTGATATGGGACACAATGGTGGGGACCGTTTGGATTGCACTGAAGACTATTCGTCAGTCGGATGAGGTTAGTTAGTGTGTTGCCTGTTTGGAAGTGTGGTTGCAACCTTTGCCTCCCCTCATCTTAAGCTCCTCCTCAGATGATATTTGCCTATGCATGCCTGTCCCTTTTCTAATTAGAGGTCATGTGTCCTCTTCATCTCTAACCTAGCCAGACAGGACTGTCTTTAAACTGTTCTTCCCCATGTCCTGTGATGGATCTTAGAGATGGCCAAACACCTCTTAAACCTGTCAGGTAGACAGTCTTGTCTGAGTAACGTGTATGTGGTCTCACATTCTCATTTAAACGCTGTCCTGGGAAGAATGCCATTACACTTCCTTAGCCAACTGGCTGGATACTATTTTTGGATCTATTTTTCTAAGCCACTCCCCAGGCAACTGTTTTCAGACTTCTTTTGTGTATAATACTTTTGGAATTTAAGGAATTATCAGGTTGGTGGTACATACTTATATTGTCTTTACTCATTTTCAGGTTGAAGTCTTAGTCCACTTTCCCAGATTCCACTTAGAGATCACTGTTTCCCCACTGGCTCTGTACTTACACAGAATTGACTCTATCACTGTATAGCTTGACTGTGCACTACAAGCTTTCTTTGGAAGTGGGGGAGTTGAAGGCATGACTTCATTGTCTGTATTTGCGTGAGTTCTAAGTCTCTACTCCTGTAGGCAGGGGAAGAGCTCATTTTTATAGCAGTTCTATTCAATTCTGTTTACCCAGTGAAATAGTCACTAAGAATCATGAGATTGGAGCCAGGTGTGGTGGCACATGCCTGTAATCCCAGAACTTGGGGAGGCAGAGGCAGGCAGATCTTTATGAGTTCAAGGCCAGCCTGGTCTACAGAGTGAGTTCAAGGACAGCCAAAGGCTATACAGAGAAACCCTGTATTAAAAAACCAAACCAACCAAACAACAATTCTCTCCCCCCGCCCCCCGCCCCCCGCCCAAGAATCATGAATATTGGTCCATATGGATGCTTACTTTTAAAGTTTGGTATTTTGGAAAGTCATCCTTACCAGAACTGCACAGCTGAACACAGTGAAAGTTGCCCCTGGAAACCCTCTCTCCACAAAGGGGAGAAAAGAGCCACAGAATGAGTGGTGGGAGTGGTTTGTTTTATTTTTATTTTTCCTTATCATGGTATATGAGTGGTCCTCTGGATGCTCTTGAAGAAGGGAATTCAGAGAACACCTGGCTCTTGAACCACAAAGGGAATCAAGAAAGTTTAGAGTTTAATCTTAGACCTTTGTTTCCTAGGAAGGGCCGGGGGAGTGGTCTACACTGGAGGCTGAGACATTAATGAAAGATGATGAGATCTGTGGAACCAAAAACCCAACTCCTCATAAGATTTTGCTTGATACACGATTTGAGTTGCCGTTTGGTGAGTCTGTTTTGATGAGATTTAAGGGTGATTTAACCCTTTTTACGACACTGTTTCAGACTGTGTGCTTGTTGTTTTGCCAGCGTCGGTCTGTCTTCTTTGGCGTACTATCGTAGGCATCTGTGGTCACCCACTCTGTCCCGTGACAGCTAGTCCACGATGAAGGAAAGTCCACGTTGGTCCTCAGAACCTGGGCATGGTGGCTGGTGCCTGCAATCCCGTACTCTCCAGGCTGAAGCAGGAAGACTCCGAAACACAGGGCTGCCTAACCCACACGGCAAGCTCTGCACAGGGCCACACAGTTGAGTCTGCCAGCAGGAAACACTCAACACTTTTTATTTTTAGATTTATGCTTTTAAAATACTTTAACACTTACTATCTTGAATATACACTCTGATTTGAAGAGCACTGAAAACAGAATATACTTAATTAATTTTTTAGTTTTTGTTTTTTTGAGACCACTCCAAATTCCAGGCTAACCTTGAACTCAAAACAATTCTCCTGCCTCAGCCTCCGATAGTATGTATCTGTATGGTGAAGTTTAATATCTGTCTTCCCATCATGTCAGTAAGTTGAAATTATGAGTGAGTGATGACAAATGACTGGACTATTCACCTTCAGGGTAAGTTATTCTGTAATTGTTTATTGATTGGCATGTAGGATTCTTTCACTTTTTGATGTCACATATTACTGTAACTAACAGTGGTAGGTATTGATCTTAGGTGTATTTGGGTGTATTTGTGATCTTTATGAGTCCAGGATAAATGTCTTAAAGTAGAATTGCTCAGTCAAAGGGTATGTATGTACATTATTATTTTTCGTAATAATATTGCAGTTATTTGGCAGAAAGTTTGTATGGTTTATACCTCATTACCCGAGAGTGCCCTACCTCTGCACGTCTTTACCAGTATTTTGTACTTCCCAGCTCTTAACCATTGTAACTGGTTTAAGATGGGGATGACTTAGCATTGCCATCTGCAGATGGGTTGGGCCGCATTCACTGCTATTCAGGGACAGGGGCGGCAGCTTGGACAGGACTAGAAATGTTGTCTTCTTTTTACTTGAATTATTTTAGTATTCTTTACATTTTTATTATTTACATTAATGGCACCTACATTTACTATTATTTTGGCTCTTCATAATTTTAACTTATTTATTTAACTTTTTTTTTTTTTTTTTAATCCCAGAGAGGGTCTTGTCATATAGCCCAAGTTTACAATCTTGCATCCGACTCTCAAATGTTGGGATCATGGGCTTGTACCATTTTACTTAGTGTCATTTCAGTTTTGTCCATTTCAACAAAACATGGTCTCACTTTGTAGTTCAGGTTAGCCTAAATCTCACAGAGATCCACCTTCCTCTGCCTCCTGAGTTCTGGGATTAAAGGTATGCACTGTCATACCTGGTTTAGTTTTTCTTACATCATAATGGTAATTTAAGCAAAAATTACATGATTTTCCTCATTAGCTCAAAAATAACTAAACTCATGTTATTGCAGAACAACAGAAAAGGTTTCTTATATTTAGACAAAAAGAATTTTTCTTTGGATAATATAGAAACAATTAAAAATATTCAATTGTCAAAACACTTTTTATTGACTCAAAGAAATATAGGTATGGAAAGGAAAGTTTCTAATAATTTGATCAGCTGATATTTGAGTTTTGCATAATTGTTAGTGTTTTAAATGTAAATGTACATATAGTTATTTTGTTTCTTAACTGTTTCATCTACTAATTGCGTAGTTACAATATAAATGTATACAATATTTTGCTAGAGAAATTTCAGCACTTGACTTTATGTTATGGATGTACACTATAATAAAAATCATTTATGGAGGCTGAAAGTGTAACTGTACCACTGAGCCACACCCAACACATGTGTTAGCTCATTTGACCTTCTTCATACTCCCTTGAGGTCAACCTAGCTATTATTAACATCTCAGAATGAAGGAAACTGACGCTCAGAATATTTAGTCTTTTGGACAAGGTTGCGTAGCTATGAGGCGGTAAAAACAGGATTTAGCTGCATGATCTTCCCTGGCAAGATGACATATGCCGGTAGCCCTAGTACTTGGGGCAAAGGTGGGAGGGTCACTTGAGGGCAGGAGTTCAAGATTAGTACAGCAATGTAATGGGGCCTGGTGAGAGAAAGAAAGGAAAGGGAAAGGAAAAGGGGAAAATGACCCGAGGGTGTTAATTTTAACTCTAATACATGTAAGCCACTTTTCTTGTTGCCTGTTTAGATCATTCAGAGCTTGTTCCACTATAAATAATGTTGCATAAAATACACTTGTAGTTCTGTATTTTTTTTCCTCTTTCAAATTACTTTTGTGGAGTTAGGCAGTAATAGTTTGCAGTCATGAATCCTGAGAACTAATGACAGGCATTTATTATTAAAAAAAATCATCTTTGTTGTGTGAGCACTATAGGGTATACTCACACTAACTTAGGTTGCATAGGTTAATGTGGTTCCTTAGTGCAATCAAATTAGGCTTAGGGTATAGCTTAGGGGTAGAATATTTTGCCTAGCTCATGCAAGGTTTTGAGTTCAACTCCCAGTGTCAGACAGACAGACAGGCAGACTCATGTACACACACACACATGCACGTGCACGAATACGCGTGCACACACACGCACGCACAAGCACAGAGAGGCACAAGGGAGGAGAGCTAGTGAGAGCAAGTGCTATGAATGCATGAAGCCTCTTCTGATGTAACATGGCATATTTATAGTAAGCTCTTTTCTTGGTAAGAGCTTACTTTAAGAGCCCTTATCTTAATAAGAGCTTAATAAGATCTCTCTATTACAATTATAAATAAACGGAGCATACCTCTTACATATAATGTCATATATACCTATATATTAATATATTAATAATTAGCATATTAATACCTCTTACATTTAAGAGGTATGCTGCTTAGTTAGTTTTAGTTGTAGTATAGTTATATGTGATTTAAGCTGTATTATTCTTTTATGAACTTGGGCGTCCTTGTATTTGGTGCATAGATGCTAACAATTATAATATTGTTTTGGTGCAATTTTCCTTCGATGAGTAAATAGTGTCTTTTCATGTCTGTATTGATTAGTTTTGATTTGAAGTCTGTTTTGTGACATTAAAATGGCAACACCAGCTTTCTTCTTAAGATCTATTCGCTTGGAATATCTCTTGAACTTTTTACTCTGAGGTGGTAATGTCTGTGTGTGGTGTTAAGGTGTGTGCCTTGGATGCAGCAGAAGGATGGATCCTGTTTTAACATCCATTCTGTTAGTCTGTGCCTTTTTATCACAGAATTGAGACCATTGATGTTGAGAGATATCAACGAACAGTATCTGTTGATTCCTGTTATTTTGTTGTGGTGGTGGTAATGATATGTGTTTCCCTCTTTTTTGATTTGTTGGTCTGGAATTAGTTATTCCTTGTGTTTACTAGAGTATGTTGGAGTATGTTAGAGTTAGGTTGGAGTTTTCCTTCTTGCACCTTCTGTAGGGATAATTTGTAGATCAGAATTGCTTAAATTGGTTTTGTCATGTAATGCTTTCTGTTCTCCATCTATTATGATTGAAATTTTTGCTGGATATAGTAGTCTGGGCTGGCATCGTGGTTTCTTGGAGTCTGCAGCACTTCTGGCTTTTAGAGTCTCTGCACAGAAGTCAGTTGTTATTCTGTGTTATTCTGGTAGGCCTGCCCTTACATGTTACTTGGTCTTTTTTTCTTGCAGCTTTTAATATTCTTTCTTTGTTCTGTATGTTTTATTAGGTACCAAGTTTTTTTTTTTTTTTTGTCAAGTCTATTTGAGGTTCTGTATGCTTCTTTTTGTTTTTTTGGGCCAGGGTCTCACTATGTAGCTCTGGCTGTCCTGGAACTCATTTATATAGACCAGGCTGGCCTTGAACTCACAGAGATCCACTTCTAACCTTGTGAGTGCTAGGATTAAAGGCATGAGCCATCGTACCTGGCTTTTTATGCTTCTTGTATCTTGATATGCATTCTTTTTTAGTTAGGGAAATTTTTTTCTATGATTTTGATGAAAATATTTTATGTGCCTTTGACCTGAGTTTTTTCTTCATCCACTATTCCTATTCTTAGGTTCCACATTTTCTGGATGTTTTATGCCGGTACATATATATATATATATGTATGTATGTATACATATATATATATATGTATGTATATATATATGTATGTATGTATGTATATATATAATATACATACATATATATATATATGTATGTATATTAGATTTAACATTTTCTTTGAGGTTTCAATTTCTTCTATTTTGTCTTCTATGCATGAGATTCTTTCTTCCATCTCTTAGATTCTGTTGGCATAAAAAAAAATACTGGCATAAAACATCCAGGAATGATTTTGTTGGCATAAAACGTTCCTGGATGTTTTATGCCAGTATTTATTTATTTTTATTTTTTAGATTTAGCATTTTCTTTGCATTTTCAATTTCTTCTATTCTGTCTTTTATGCCTGGGAGTCTTTCTTCTATCTCTTAGATTCTGTTGGTGAGGCTCATTGTTGGAGTTTGTAAAAATTTTTATTTCCAGATTTCCCTCAGTTTAGGTTTTCTTTATTGATTCTGTTTCCACTTTCAGGTCTTGTTTTATTCATTTCCTTCCACTGCTTTTGTTTATGTTAATGTAAACAGTGTTCTGTTTTCATGTACACCTGAATGCCAGAAGAGGGCACCAGATCTCATTATAGGTGGTCATGAGCAACCAACCATGTGGTTGCTGGGAACTGAACTCAGGACCTTTGGAAGAGCAGCCAGTGCTCTTAACTTCTGAGCCATCTCTCTAGCCCCGTACTTCCACTGGTTTTGTTTTCATAGATTTCTTAAGGAATTTATTAATTTCCTTTTTAAGGACTACTATCATGTTGTTAAGGCCATTTTAGGGTCTTTGTTTTGTGCTTCAGCTGTGTTGCAATTCTCAGTGCCTACTGTAGTAGGATTGCTGGACTCAAGTGGAGACATATTGTCCTGGCTGTTATTGGTTGAGTTTTTATGCTGCTGTCGAGACACCTGGGATGATGGTAATTCTTGGTGTTGATATCTGGTTTTGTCTTTTTTGGGTGGGTGTTTTGTTCCTTGGCTTCTGTTGTGATCTCTGGTTCTTAGGAAGGTGTGTTGTCTGGTAGGGAACTTCTGGGATGGGTGTAGCCACTAGAGGTTTTGGGTAAAATGGGTTTACAAGTATTGGGAGCTGACACCTAGGAATGGGGATGAACAGGGGTGTGTGTGGCTGAGGAGTTCACAGGAGGGAAGAAAGCAGGGTGTTCCACTAGGATCTGCTTAGTCCCTAGGATTTGGGGCAGAGAGTGAGGAGAGGCTACAAGAGCTAGTCTACAGAGCTGGAGATGAGACTGGGGGATTGGATGTGGAGGACAGGAGGGAGCATGATGAGCTGAAGGTTATCTACCTGCTTTGCTGGCCTACTTCTCTGGAAGGCTTGGCTTATAGGTTCCCAGAGAGTACCTGCTGCTGTTTTGGTCTAGAATAATGGTATGGATGAGTTAGAAAAAGGAAGGGTGGAGGAGAAGACCTATATGAACCACTGGAGAAGGGGCAGGTAGTGAGGGGAGGCCTGCCGTAGAGCTGGTGGTGAGATTGGGGAGTTGATTTGGAGGAAAGGAGGGCGAGGTAAAGATTTGCAGTTAGCCTACCTGCTTTCTTGGCTGGAGTGGCCTGCAGGTTTCCAGGGAATGTCTGCTGGTGTTGGGGGCTGGGTTAGTGGGATGGGCTGAAAAAATATACTCATATATTGGTAAAATGTAGTTTTATAAATGTATACAGAAGAACATTGTTCTTTGTACTATCAGTCTGTTGAGCATCAAGTATTGTACATAATTGTATTTGCCATGCCATTATAAAACACAGCAGGTTTACTTATAGCACTTTCCTTATTGCGGTACATGAGGTGAAATGCATTTTGTAACTCCATAGGAATCTCATGAGCCCAACAACATGCATGTAGCCTGCTTCTCTTTCTTCTTGTTGTTTTTGAGATACGATCTCATGTGCTCAGGCTGACTGAGAGCTATTATCTTCCCACCTGTCCCCAAAGTACTGGAATTGCAGGTGTGTGTCACTGTGCCTACCTTTGTGTTATGTGAGAATAACTGAATGCTTTAAAAAGTTGTCCAGTGACAATTGTCCCCTTCCCAAGGCAGTTCACGTTCTTGTAGGCTACATAAAATAAACGTCTAGGCCTTTAGCCAGCTGTATTAATTAGCATTTTCTTGTATATATTTATAGTGATGTCTTTTCAGTCTATACGTATATATATATGCCGCATCCAACTAGTTTTTATTTATTTGGTTTTTTGTTTATTTTTGAGACAGGATTTCTCTATGTAGCTCTGGCTGTTTTGGAGCTTACTCTGTAGACCAGGCTGGCCTCAAACTCATAGATCCACCTGCTTCTCCCTCCCAAGCACTGGTATTAAAGGTATGTATGGTCACCACCTGGCTCCAACTCATTTTTTTTTTTTTTTTAATTTTTAATTTTTTTTGAGACAGGTCTGGCTAATGTAGCTCAGGCTGGCCCAGAACCTAACTATGTAGGACAAATTAGCCTCAGACTTGTGATCTTCCCATTTAAGTGTCCCAAGTGTGGATTTTATAGGTGTGTGCTATAATCTTGGCCTTGGAGGTTTGTTTTGTGTTTTGAGACAGGACTTCCTTTGTAGCCAGGCTGGCCTTGAACTTACTGTGTGTCCCAGCACGCTCCATGTTCACTGTGCTCTTCCTGCCTCAGCCTTTCAGCCCTTCCCTGTTCCTTGTTGTTTGTCACTGACTGAAGAACTAGCTTGGAAATCTTTCCTTTTAAAGGATGAATAATGCTCCATTGTGTCTATATGTCATTTTGTTTATTTTTTCATCTGTTTATCGATGTGGGTGTAGCGCTCATTTTAAAAACTATTTTATTTGGGGTGTTTAGGCCTCAGTTTTTCTTCTAACCTCCCGACCCTACATAGGAGAGAAAAGCTTAGTGGGGAGAGAGGGTCAGTGGGTTCTTTTAGGACTCTATACCAATCTCTGTCAACAGTAGATGCAGCCAGTAGCCTCCTTCAAGATGCTGCACCCCAAACATTTCTCTCTGTCTCTCTGGTCTCTCCAAACTGCTACACGCCCATGCCTACATTGAATGCCGTATCTTCTCTTTCTTGGCTCTCGGTTTATATCCTCTGAGTCCTAGACCATGCCCCTCTCCTTGCTGCACCTGAATTACCAAAGCATGAGCCAATTAACAGGTGTGGACAAACTATAGCCCAACTAAAATCCCACACTTAGATTAAAACAAAGACATTTACATAACATAGTTGAGTTTACAAAGAAACCAAAACTTCCACTACACATGAATTACTTTAACTCTTGGTTAGTATGAATAAATGCTGTTCTGAGCTTGGATATACAAATATTCCTTTGAGACTCTCCTTTTAGTTCTTTTGACTATACTCCCACATGGTAGTGTGTGTGTGTGTGTGTGTGTGTGTGTGTGTGTGTCTTTTTGTTTGTTTGAGACACAGTTTCTCTTGTGTTGGCTTGGAATTCCATATGTAGTCACACTAGCCTTGAACTTGTACTCTAGTTGCCTTAGCCTGCTATGTATTGGAGTTACAATTATATGCATCACATTTGGCTATACTTTTAATTTTTTGAAGGCAAAGTGTAAATTTTAAGCCTTTTTATACCCCAGGATTTAGCTTTTCTTCTAACCCTTTGGAGAGCGTTGGTCTTGCTGAGTGGCGGGCAGCGCAGCTGCATGGCTCTAACCCTGGAACCACGCCTTGCCTATGGAGGGACTCGGCCATGGCTAGACACGCGTCCTTTCAGGGCCTTCGTTTCACCATCTTTAAAGCAGAGGCAGCAAAAACAGTTTTTATATTATCTTTCCAAAATAAAGAGTAATATCTATGGCAACAATTGAGTCACAGTTAAAATTCATCTGTCACTGCCATCTCTTTAACTACATTTGTCTCAATAAAGTATTATTTGCTGATGATTGATCTATTACCAGCTAATACCATTTGTTCTTTTTTATGGTAGACATCCCAGAGGAGGAAGCCAGATATTGGACCTACAAAATGGAACAAATCAATGCCTTAACAGATGATAATGAGGTAGGAACTGCTTTATTTGCAATATTGAAAGATGGGGAAAATCTCTGATCCATTACAGATTGTCCAGGGAAGGCCCAAGAGCACATTGTCTAAGGCATTAAAATTGTGGTAAGAGAATCAAACCCATGGCTTTACGTGTCCTAGACATGTGCTTTACCAATGAATTATACCCCATTCTGTAATAATGAAGTTGTTTATTATTATAATATATTTGAGACCAAGTCTTCCTATGTGGCTTTGACTGGTCTTGAACTCGATATTCTCTGGCTACAGTTTCCTGAGGGCTGGGACTACTGGCATGCTCCACTGTGCACAGCTAAAGTGAACAAGGACGGGGAGAAGATTTTCTGAACTTTAGTGGGAAGGTCCATCTCCCACTGTGCTCAGATGGTGCTGTTAGCCTGGCCCTGCACCACTGAGGAAAGAGCTGATAGCAGCTCCTCTTGTTATACAGATGAGCAGAAGGCGTTTCTTGTTTCTGCTTAGATTTTTGGGTATTACCCTTAATTGTGTGCACTTTTTAGGAATGTTTTGACTGTTGCTTTGCTTGGTACTGCTGTCATGACTTCTCTTTAGCTACGATTGTGTGTGTAAAAGAGAAGACACTCATGTTCATCTGGGGTATCAGGAGTGGGAGAGTGCTTTTGTTATTGGCAGGGTAAAGAAAAGAACACATTTATTTACTTCGGGATATGTTGAACTTTTAGAAATACAAATTGTTTTTAAAAAGTTTCATAATGAGCTTGGGAATTTATTTTTGAAATAAGATCTCCTTATCTAGCCCTGGCTTTCCTTGAACCCATGGTCCTCCTACCCCCGTCTTTTCAATACTGACATCATAAGGGTTCTTGTGCACTAACACCAAAGAAATAATATTTTATTGCCCTTGAGAAATGGGATTGTACGTTTGTGTAATCATTGTGATGTCTATCGTATTATAAGCAGTCAAAGTTTTATTTACTGAAATAAAGTTGATGCTGTTAAAAAAAAAAAACAGAAGCACAAATTGTTAGAAAATAGCATTTGAATGCTGTTTTTAAAGTGTCTAATGTTTTCCAGGCTGGCCTTTATAATATATAGCACATATATGAATAATCTTGAAATACTAATTCCTTTTTGTCCCCCCAAGACAGGGTTTCTCTGTGTAGCCCTGGCTGTCCTGGACTCACTCTGTCCTCAGACTCACAGAGCTCTGCCCGCCTCTGCCTCCCGAATGCTGGGATTAAAGGTGTGTGCCACCACCACTCGGCCTCAGCCCACTTTCTTAAACCACCCAATGCCACCTGTCCAGGGGTGGCACTACCCCCAGTGGGTTAGGCTCCCCTCTATCAATTAGCAATCAAGAAAACACCCCACGGACTTGCCAATAGGCATTCTGAAGGAGGTGGTTTTCTCAACTGAGGTTCCTCTTCCTATTTGATTTTAGCTTGTGTTAAATTGACAAAAACAATAACTATGACGTCTGTTTTTGTTTGTTGTCCTAGGGCTCCCTCCAGTTTCCCTTTTTAGTTGCTGTATTTCCTTAGGCATTTCTTAGCTTGCTTTCAGTAACCACTTAAAAATATTTAATGCTTTAGCTGGCCATGCTGGCACATTCCTGAAATCTTAGCACTTGGAAGCTACAGGTAAAATCTGTATTTCAAGGTTGTTCTTATTTAAATAAAGAGTTCAAGGTTGGAGCTGGAGAGATGGCTCAGTGGTTAGGAGCACCAGATGCTCTTCCAGAGGCCCTGAGTTCAATTCCCAGCAGCCACATGGTGTTTCCCAACCGTCATAATGGGATGTGATGCCCTCTCCTGGCATGCAGGTGTACATGCAGACAGAGAACTTACATAGATAAACTACATAAAGAAATCTTTTAAAAAAGAAATTCACAGTCAACTGGGGATATGTTAGACCCTAGTTTTCAAAAAGTTCAATTCCTATGATATTCAGTTGTGTGTGACAAAACATTTCCTGAGGAGACACTATGAGACCTGAGGGGGGATCATTTCCACAGCTGTCTGATTAAAGCAAGGTGGGGTTTCAGAGAGCAGCCACTCACTGGCTTTTGAGGTCCCTTTTATGGGGCAGGGTTAGGGTTGATAGAAAACATCTGTTTTGTTTTGCTGTCCAGGAACACCTGGGCAGAAGAACCGGAGGCTCAGGGCTCAAGGCTGCCTGTGAGGTATGGAAGTGCAAGAATCCATCCTGTGGAAGGGGAGTCCTCAGGTAGTCAGGAGTTTAGCAAGGCAAACTGGTGGGTACACGTCACGGAGTTACAAGTTCAGTATAGGTTGAAAAACATGGTTTGAAGGATACAGTAGGCTTAGGAAACAAACTGTTGTAAGGTACAGAGACTTAATAGCAATGTATGACAGTGTGGCTCCCATTTGGGTTTCACAACATGACTCACACATCTCTTCATCCCAGATAGGGAACCCAGGACGAACCACATATGGATACCACCAAAGTCCAACTTGTTGTACCAACGAGATTTATTGGGGTTACTTGCAGGGATATGAGGGAGGGGCTACTTACAGGAGCAGAAATGACTCAAAGAGAGCTGGATCTCCAAGGCTCACCCCAGCATGGGTTGACAGCTCATAAAAGCTGGGAAGCTAGAGCACACAGCCCAGTCTGCAGGCAGTTCAGCAGGTTGGAGAGAGACCTTTCTAGGTGTTTCTATTGGTTTTAGGCAGCTCCACTGGTTTCTGCTTCTGCCAGGCAGCTGGTCTTGTATCAGGGTCTTCTTTGCAGCTTTTCTCCACTCTGTGTCTTGTTTGCAGTTCAGCTTCCTTCCATCTGGGAGGGACTCTCAGTTTTTTTTTTTTTTTTTCTTACTCTTTCAGGGAGGGACCTAGTGAATCTGGTCATCTTCAGGGACTTCCTGAAGCTATTTTTGAGTTGTTTACCTTCCTGCTTAAGGAGCTTCCCTGCAGCATGGAATTTTCAATCTTGGAGGAAACTGTTAAACAACACCATTATAGTTGTCCCTCTGTATAGTTGGGCTTTGCATCAGCAATCTTTGTATTGAAAACTATTAGAAAAAAAGTTGTATCTGTGCTGAACATATTCAGCGTTTAGAAAATTATCTATTTTAAGTAATTTAGAAGTTGTGTGTGTGTGTGTGTGTGTGTGTGTGTGTGTGTGTGTGTATGAGAAATGGTCTATTGTAGCCCAGCCTAGCTGGGCTTTCTATGTAACTAAGGCTGGTATGGAATTCCTATGTCTACCTCCAAACTATTGAAATTACAGGCCTGTACCACCAGGCCTAGGTAATATGTATTTGGAATATACACAAGAATGTGTAAATTATACATAAATATTACAACAGTTTATAGAAGGGTATGAGGCATCGTGATTTTTTTTAAATGATCTTTTTTAAAAAACATTTATTTTTTTATGTATATGAGTGTTCTATCTGCATTTACACCTGGCAGAAGAGGGAATCAGTTCACATTATAGATGGTTGTGAGCCACCATGTGGTTGCTGGGAATTGAACTCATGACCTTTGGAAGAGCACTGAGCCATCTCTCCAGCCCAAGGCATTGGGATTTTGTTGCTTGTTGTGGGTATTATTCTGGGACCACTGTCCAGTGGATGGCGTCTTGCACCTTTCCTGACATTAAGGGAATGCTTCATAAGCTATTGTTTATTTGTTTGTTTGAGGCAGGATCTCACTCTGTTGCTTTGGCTGGCCTTGAATTTAATGAAGTCTTTCTCCATCAGCATCCCAAGTGCTAGAATTACAGGTTTGGGCTCTTCATAAGTGTCTTAGTTACTATACCTGATTCTTTTATTTTCCTTTTATTTATTCTTTATTTATTATAATTTGTCTCAGCTGTAGCACCCTCCCTCCTTTCCTCCCAATCCCACCCACCCTCCCTCATATCCTCCTATGCCCCTCCCCCAGTCCACTGATAGGGGAGGTCCTCCCCTTCCATCTGACCCTAGCTTATTGGGTCTCATCAGGACTGGCTGCATTGTCTTCCTCTGTGGCCTGGTAAGGCTGCTCCCCCATCATGGGGAGGTGATCAGAGAGCCACTTGGAGACTGAGCTGCCATGGGCTACATCTGTGCAGGGGTTCTAGGTTATCTCCATACATGGTCCTTGGTTGGAATATCAATCTCAAAAAAGACCCCTGGGCTTTTCAGAGGTCTCAGAAAAGACCCCTGAGCTCCTTGTGGAGCTCCTGTCCCCTCCAAGACTTTCTGTCTCCCTCTTTTTTCATAAGATTCCCAGCATTCTGCCCAAAGTTTGGCTATGAGTTTCAGCATCTGCTTAAATACCCTGCTGGACAGAGTCTTTCAGAGGCCCTCTGTGGTAGGCTTCTGTCTTGTTCCCTGTTTTCTCCCTCTTCTGATGTCTATCTTGTTTGCCTTTCTGAAGAGGATTGAGCATCTTACCCCGGGTCCTCCTAATTGCTTAGCTTCTTTTGGTACTGTACCTGACTCTTGATAAGTTTCTTAGTTATTGTTATATTGTTGTGAAGAGGCACCGTGTCCAAGGATTTAGTTTAATTACAGCTTTAGAGGGTTAGTCCATATTCATCATAGAAGGTAGTGTGGTGGCAGGCAGACAGGCAGGATGGCACTGGAGCAGTAGCTGAGGGCTCACAATTAACCTGCAAGTTGGAGGTAGAGATACAAACACACATACATACAGAGTGAGTGAGGGCAAACGAGAGAGAGAGAGAGACAGAGCGAGCGAGCATATGAGAGTGCACATAGACACTAAGTCAGAGACAGACACTTACAGGGCCTGGCTTAGGCTTTTAAAATGTTAAAGCCTACCCCAGAGTGACACTCCTCCAACAAGCCTGCACCTCCTAATTCTTCTCAAACGGTTCCAGCAACTGTAGATTAAACATTCAAATATATGAGCCTATGGATACTACCACAATAAGTCCTCCCTCCCCCTTCTTATTTTGAGACAGGGTCTCAGTTTGTAGCTCTGGCTGGCTTGGCGCTCACGATGTAGACTGGCCTCCAACTCACAGAGATCCACCTCCCTCTGCCTCCTAAGTGCTGGGATGAAGGTGTGTGTGCTACCACACTGGGTTGTGCATCTTTATAATTAATTAATTAATTACATTTTAATTTAATTTACCCACACAATGGGATATGTGTGGAGGTCACAGGAGAACTCGTAGGGCTTAGTTCTCTGCTTCTACCACATGCATTAGGGATGGTGTGTGTGTGTTGGCCTCAGATATGCTGGTCACCCACATCCCTGAGCCATCTTACTGTAATATACATCTTACATTTAATTTTTATGTTATCACACATAATGTGGCGTTTTTGTTTTGTTTGTTTTTTCGAGATAGGGTTTCTCTGTATAACTGTGCTGGCTGTTCTGGAACTCAATTTGTAGACCAGGCTGGTCTCAAACTCACAGAGATCTGCCTGCCTCTGCCTCCCAAGTGCTGGGATTAAGGGCATGCACCACTATAATACCCAGCCAGAATAATCTGTTTAAAAAAAATTGTTTTGAGACAGGGTCTTATGTAGCCTAGGCTAGTCTTGAATTAGTGACAGTCTTGTTTATACAGAATTCTGCATGTATGTACACCTGCACACCAGAAGAGGGCACCAGATCTCATTATAGATGGTTGTGAGCCACCAAGAGGGAGCTGGGAATTGAACTCAGGACTTCTGGAAGAGCAGCCAGTGCTCTTAACCTCTGAGCCATCTCTACAGCCCTCATATGGGGTTTTAATCTAACGTTCTTCTGCATCTATGAGATCATGATGTGTTTTAAAACTATGCTTAATGTGGCAAATTACATGAATTAAAATTTTTATATGTAGAATTGTCTTTGTATTTAAAGTTCACTTGGTCAAGATGTATGTACATTTGCATAACAACATCCACATATATGCACATGTACATACACATTTACATCTAAATTTTACATGCATATATAATGTGATGGATTTGGTTTTTAATTTGCTTTTCTTATGCTGTCATTATCAATTTTTTCTTGTAATGTTTTTCTCTTTTTGAGACAGTCTCATGTAACTCAGGCTGGCCCTAGACTTCAGGTTTAGCTGAAGCTGATCTTGAATCTTTCTTCTTTTACTTCCCAAGATGTAATTATTATAGGTATGTGCTACCATACCAGGCTGTAGATAATTTTTGTTTGTTTGTTTGTGCTAAGGATTCATCAGGGATCTTTGACTTGCTGGACAAGCTTTTAAACCCCTGACATGCATCCCTTTCCTCTTAAATTGTTATTATTACTATAATTATTATTATCATCATTTTGTTTTTTTAAAGACAGGGATTCTTTGTGTAGCTCTGACTGTTCTGGAACTCACTGTGTATACCAGGCTAGCCTCGAACTCACAGAGATCCGCCTGCCTTTGTCTCCTTAGTGCTGGGAGTAAAGGCTCTTGCCACCACCGCCCAGCCTTAAGATTTTCTTTACTGTGTAGGAACATATTGTCTGTCTGTCTGTCTGTCTGTATGTATGTATATATATATGTATATGTGTACCTGGTGCCCATGAAGGTCAGAAAAAGACACCAGATATCCTAGAACTGGAGTTTCAGATGGTTGTGTGTCACCATGTAGATACTGGAAATCAAACCCTGATCCTCTGGAAGACCAATACATACTTTTAACTGCTGAGTCATCTTTCCAGTCCCAATCAATCCTTTTTTAAACAATCTTTATTTTATTAATTTTGCTGTAGTTACCTGGACTTTAATGTTTTGTTTTGAGCTAAAACAAGATTGGTTTCTTTCAGAAACAAGTTTCTGAAAACTCTCTTCTGATCTCTTACATGTGAGTTCTTCTACTTTAACACTTGGATCTCAGGATTTCTTGTTGTTATGCCTGTGTCCTGCCTATAAAACTATCATTATTAAAGAGATGCTGGAGGGATGGCTCAGCAGTCAGAAATACTGTTTGTTTTTCTAGAAGACCTGGGTTCAGTTCCTAGCACCCACGTGGTGAGTCAACCACCTATAACTGTGGTTCCAGGGGATCTGAGCCCTCCTGTGGCCTCTGCAGACACTAGGCATGCGTGTGGAACACAGATACACACAAAGGTGAAACACCATATGCATAAAAACAGCCCTCATTATTTGTAAAGGTTATTATTCATAGCTGAGTCATCTGACATTTTGGTGTGAGTGTTCAACCTTGGGTTGCTGAGCAGTGTTTTGGATGTCTGCGTTTCTAATGCAGTCCTACTGTGTTCATTGTGCCTGACTTTTGATACCTCCCACTGGAAGTATTAATGTCAGTATTCTTAAGATTTGTATTATGGTTTACTGCTTGTGAAATGTTACATACAAAAATGGTTTTGGATCCAACTACTTAAAATCTCCTTTGCCACTGACATTCTTCTTATGTACAAGCTTTTGTATAGACTGTCTTCATAGATAACCTCATCCTCTTTCCCTATACTTCATCTCTGTAACAGCTGTTACAGTCTTTTTATTTATTAAATTTTATGTCCGTGTACCACTGTGTGCCTGGTGCCCAAGGAGGCAAGAAGAGGATGTTGGTTCCTAGAGGAACTGGAGTTACTGCCACTTGTGAGGTGTCATATTTTTTGACACATAAGTTTTGAGAAACAAACTTAGGTTCTCTGGAAGAGCAGCTGGTGTTCTTAATCACCATCTCTCCAGCCCTGTAATTGCATTAGTTACTTTTCTGTTGCTGTGATAAAACACTGTGATTGTGACCAAGGCAATTTACTCTTCTAGAGGGATAAGAGTCCATCATGGCATCGAACCAGGGCAGCAGGAACAGCTGAGAACTCAAATCTCAAATCACAAGTATAAGGAGAGAGAGTCAGTCAGTTAGCTAACTGGGAATGACTCAGAGATTTTGGAACCTCAAAGGCCACGCCCCATGACATACCCCTTCCATCAAGGCCTCACCTCTCAGGCTTACCCAAGCAGTTCCAACAACTGGGCACCAAGTATTCAAATACCTGAGACTATGGAGACAGCTCATTCAACCACCACAGTGATATTTCTCCATGTTTAAAGTCACATGTCTTCCCAATGCATGAGTATAAACTTCAGACCTTATACTGTGAATTTCATTCTATTTTCCTACAAGGTTTTGTACATAGTGGGTGCTAAGTCAGTATTTATTGAATGAGTGACTCATTGGCCGTTCAGCTCTGGCTCACCCAGAACCATATAGCTTATTAACAAGTTGCAAAATTAGTATGTGAAGTTCAGACATGTAGGGCATGTAGCCCTTGGTGGCCTCTGATTTTTCATATAGCTGAGGATTACCTTGAGCTCATTCTAAGCATGTGCCATTTTGCCTGGCCCAGATCTTATTTTTGTTGGTTTAAGTTATATCTTTTCAGTCTTCCACTAGGCTCGAACCAAACTACCGTTCTACATACATATGTTAGTTTATACCTTTTTAAATCCTGCCCACTCTCAAAACTTTCCCTTAATTGTGTTCCTTTTTACAGATTATTTTCTTATGGCTTCAGTACCCTGTACGTTTGTTGTTGTGGTAGTGGTGGTGGTGAGTGACCCTGGAGAGGCTAGTTTGGGGAAGGGACTACCAGATGTATCTGAAAGCCCAGCTGTGTACTCTGTTATGCAGTTTCAGTATTCATAAGAATCTGCAAGGGAAGAGTACTCTTACTCAAAGATATGCCGACAGCCTGATAGAAACCTTTAGGTTTATCATTTGGTTTGTGAAATCTAGATGTTGACCACAGGCATACAGAGAACCCTTTGAAACACTCCAAAGCCAGGCATTTGGCAGCTGCCTGGTGTTCTTGGTCAGAGTGCTCCCTGTGCTGTTCTATTTTGAGCCAGCACCATAGCTGAAGATGTGTCCTAGGCCAGGATCCCATAGAGAGGACAGCAGTGGGAAGTTCTATTTCTGTTCAGTAAAACTGACCCAAGTCAGATGCTAAATATGTAGTAGGCAGCTGGTTTCTCCTTTCTTCTGTACTTGGAACTCTTACTATGTATTTTTTTCTTTTCCTTTCTTCTTCTAGTATTCTAGTCAAGAAGAAAACCAGAGGAAGCCATTGCCCACTGCTGCCGCCCAGTGTTGTAAGTGAGAAATTTGTCTCTAAACTAGTCTTTTAAAATTTTTAAAAATTATTTTAATTTTTATTATTTTTTTTCACAATTTATTCATTATATATCTCACTTGAAGCCCCCTCCCTCAGCACCCCTGTCCAACCACCTTCCTTTTCTCTAACCATCTCATTTCCCTAGTCCACTGAAAGGGGGAGTTTTCCTCCTTTGCCATCTGCCCATAGCTTGTTAAGTCTCATCAGGACCGCTTGGATCTTCTTCCTCTGTGGCCCAGTTCTGGTGGTGTAGGCTGGTAGGATTTGCTGAAAGAGAAAGAGGCAGGGAGGATCTGGACTCTGAACTGGTCTTTTAAAAAATTATTTATTACAATTTATTCACTTTGTATCCTGGCTGTGGCCCCCTCCCTCATCTCCTTCCAGTCTCACCTTCCCTCCTCTTTCCCCCTCGTGTTCCCCCCCTAGTCCACTGATACGTGAGGGCCTCCTCCACTACTAGCCTTTCAGGCCTCATCAGGACTGTCTCTGAACTGGTCATAACTGCAGCTGTCTGTCCTCTCCACAAGTGAGGCTTGTTCTGCCTTGAGAAGAGCAGAGCTGTGTCCATGCAAGTTGTTCAGAGGCTCCCTCTTTGGGCACAGATGGCCATGGCTATTTACCCACGAGTTTCAGAAAGAGTTTTTTTCATTTTGAGTGCTGTGTATTTGCCTGCATTGGCTGACTCTTACCCTGGGATATGATTTTTAGCCCTCTTCCATGTTTACCAGCTAGTATATTTTAGGTTCAGCTTGACAACCACTAGCTCTGTGAAAGCCTCCTGCTGTTTCCTGTTCACAGTATACTTCACATGCTTCTCTTTTATGTTTTCATGTACCTTGTATGTGTACTAATCATATAATCTATCAGACATTAGAACCTGGGCCTACTTTATTGATACAGATACCTTGGGGGCTTAGAATGGTTCTTAGTCTTGGAGGGTTTGCCTAATGGGCATAAAACCCTGATTTGATCCCTAGTTTGATCCCTGCCAAAATGATAGAGAAAGAGAGAAAGAGAAAGAGAAAAAGAAAGAAAGAAAGAAAGAAAGAAAGAAAGGAAGAAAGAAAGAAAGAAAGAAAGAAAGAAAGAAAGAAAGGGAGGGAGGAAGGGAAGGAGGAAGGAAGGAAGGAAGGAGGGAAGGAAGGAAGGAAGGAAAAACAAAAAGGTCTTTAGAAACCCTACAAAGTTTTAAAAGGCATTGTTTCATTTTGTATTTCTGATATCCAGCTTAATTTTTAGTGCACAGTAGACTTTAACAAAGTTGCATAAATGATTAACTAAAGAAGAGAACATGTCATTTCTTCTGAGATTACTTTGTCCAGGTCACAGATTCTCTCTGGGAATAAGTCATGAATTATTAGTTTATTGCTAACTTTCTTTCAGGTTCTTAAAAGACTTCTTGAGATATACTGAAGGGCCACCTTTGAGTTTTAGTGTTTCACCCTCTGATTGTGTGTGTGTGTGTTGTAATTTTCTTTGCTTCCATTTTCCTAAATCAGATGCCAAATTGCACCACCCACAGTCTAAACTTGCCTGTGGTAGCAGTTATCATAATAGTACTAGTAATAATGGGAAACATAGGCACACAGGTGTCCAACAGTCAAGCAATAGCAGTAGAAACACAGAAGGAATATTCGAAAAAGTTACAATATGCAGATGCTCTTCTAAGAGCTTAATTGAGTTATTTGTTCTATTAAACTTATCTACTCTTCAAAGTAACCCTAAAACATAGATTCCACTGTTACCATATCTAGATGAGGAAACTGATGCATGAAGAGACTGAATAATCTGCTATGAATCCTATAGAGTGTAAGCAGTGAAGTGAGGACTCAGACTAAGACAATCTTAGTCCATGGCGCATGTCTTGAGTCATTGTGACACCACTTCCTCCTTAAAGTGAGAGGAAAACCTCTACCACAGTTTGTGCATGCTGATGCTTTCTTTCTTTTTTTTAATATATTTTTTTATTTTTAAATAATTTTATACATTCACTTGTATCCCAGCTATAGCCCTTGCCCCCTCTCTCTCCCAATCCTCCCCTCCCTCCCTCATCTCCTCCCTGCCCCCTTCCGAGTCCACTGAGAGGGGGTGTCCTCCTCTCCTTCCGTCTGGCCCTAGCCTAGGATGGTTGCAATGTTTTTATCTGTGGCCTAGCAAGGCTGCTCCTCCCTCAGGGGGGAGGGGAAGCTCATGAGTTCATGTCAGAAACAATTCCTGTCCCCTTTACTAGGGAACCCACTTAGATACTGAGCTACCATGGGCTATGTCTGAGCAGGGGTTGTAGGTTATATCCATGCATGGTCCTTGGTTGGATAAACAGTCTCATAGAAGACCCCTGTGCTCAGATATATTTGGACCTTTTGGGGCTCCCTGTCCCCTCTAGGATATACTAATTCCTCCTTCCTTCATATAATTCCCTACATTCTGCCGAGGGTTTGGTTATGGGCCTTAGCATCTGCTTTGATACATTGCTAGGTAGAGTCTTCCAGGTGCTCTCTGCGGTGGGCTCCTGTCCTGTTACTTGTTTTCTCCTATTTCCATCTAGAAAGACAATCTGCTTTGTCTTTCTAGATGAAGATTGATCATCTTACCCCTGGACCTCTTTCTTGTTTATCTTCTTTAGGTGTACATATTTTAGTATGTTTATCCTATCTCATAGGTCTATATAAGTGAGGATATACCATGTGTGTCTTTCTGCTTTTGGGATACCTCACTCAGGATGATTTTTTTTCTAGATCCCACCATTTGCCTTCAAAATTCCTTGTTTTTAATTGCTGAGTAGTATTCCATTGTGTAAAAGTACCACAATTTCCGTATCCATTCCTCCGTTGATGGACATCTGGGTTGTTTCCAGGTTCTGGCTATTACGAATAAAGCTGCTACAAACATGGTTGAGCAAATGTCCTTGTTGTATACTTGAACATCTTTTGGTTATATGCCTAGGAGTGGTATAGCTGGATCTTGAGGTAGCACTATTCCTAATTGTCTGAGAAAGCGCCAGATTGATTTCCATAGTGGTTGTACCAGTTGACATTCCCTAGCAATGGAGGAGGGTTCCCCTTTCTCCACAGCCTCTCTAGCATGCGTTATCTCTTGAGTTTTTTATCTTAGCCATTCTGATGGGTGTAAGGTGAAATCTCAGGGTCGTTTTGATTTGCAGCTCTCTGATGGCTAGGGATGTTGAACATCTCCTTATGTGTTTCTCTGCCATTCTATATTCTTCTACAGATAATTCTCTGTTTAGCTCCATACCCCATTTTTAATTGGGTTACTTGAATTATTGCCTTTTAACTTCTTTAGTTCTTTATATATTCCAGATATCAGCCCTCTATCAGATGTTGGGTTGGTGAAGATCCTTTCCCAATCTGTCAGCTGTTCTAATGACAGTGTCTTTTGCTTTACAGAAGCTTTTCAGTTTCACGAGGTCCCACTTATTGATTGTTGCTCTTAGGGCCTGTGCTGATGGTGTTCTGTTCAGGAAGTTGTCTCCTATGCCAATGAGTTCTAGGCTCTTCCCCACTTTTTCCTCTAACCGATTTAGAGTATCTGGTTTTATATTGAGGTCTTTGATCCACTTGGACTTTAGTTTTGTGTGGGGTGATAAATACGGATCGAGTTTCATTTTTCTGCATATAGACATCCAGTTGGACCAGCACCATTTGTTGAAGATGCTGTCTTTTTTCCATTGAATGGTTTTGGCTTCTTTGTCAAAAATCAAGTATTCATAGTGTGTGGGTTTATTTCTGGGTCTTCTATTCTGTTCCATTGATCCACCTTCTGTTTCTATGCCAGTACCAAGCAGTTATTATTATTATTGCTCTGTAGTACAACTTGAGATCAGGGATGGAGATACCTCCAGAGGATCTGTTGTTGTACAGGATTGTTTTGGAAATTCTGGGTTTTTTGTTTCTCCATATGAAATTGAGAATTTTTCTTTCAAGGTCTGTAAAGAATTGTGTTGGTATTTTGATGGGAATTGTGTTGAATCTGTAGATTGCTTTTGTCAGGATGGCCATTTTCACTATGTTAATCCTACTGATCCATGAGCATGGGGGATTTTTCTATCTTCTGATGTCTTTGATTTCTTTCTTCAGAGACTTGAAGTTTTTTTCAAACAGGTCTTTTACCTGCTTGTTTAGAGTCACCCCAGGATATTTTATGTTATTAGTGGCTATTGTGAAGGGTGTTGTTTCCCTGATTTCTTTCTCGGCCCTTTTGTCTTGGCTATACAGGAAGGCTTCTGATTTTTTTGAGTTAATTTTGTATCCAGCCGCTGAAGGTGTTTATCAGCTGAAGGCGTTCTCTGGTTGAGTTTTTGGGGTCACTTAAGTATACTATCATATCATTTGCAAATAGTGAAACTTTGACTTCTTCCTTTCCTATTTGTATTCCCTTGATCTCCCTTACTTGTCTTATTGCTCTAGCTAGGACTTCAAGTACTATATTGAAGAGATATGGAGACAATGGGCAGCCTTGCCTTGTTCCTGATTTCAGTGGGATTGATTTAAGTTTCTCTTCGTTGAGTTTGATGTTGGCTATAGGCTTGCTGTATATTGCCTTTACTATGTTTAGGTATGTTCCTTGTATCCCTGATCTCTCCAAGACTTTAAACATGAATGGTGTTGGATTTTGTCAAATGGTTTTTTGGCATCTAGGGAGATGACCATGTGGTTTTCCTCCTTCAGTTTATTTATATGTTGGATTACATTGATGGATTTCTGTATATTGAACCACCCTTGCATGCCTGGGATGAAGCCTACTTGGTTGTGGTGGATGATATTTTTTATGTGTTCTTGGATTCGGTTTGCAAGTATTTTATTGAGTATCTTTGTATCAATGTTCATAAGAGAGATCGGTCTGAAGTTCTCTCTCTCTTTTTTTTTTTTTTGTTGGGTCTTTGTGTGGTTTAGGTATTAAGGTGACTGTGGCTTCATAGAATGAGTTTGATAATGTTCCTTCTGTTTCTATTTTGTGGAA